ATGAGTATGTGGAGGACATGAGAAAGTCGGGGAATCAAGGTTTTGTATGTAAGTTAGACTTGGAGAAGGCTTATGATCTTGTGGATTGGAGCTTTTTATTAGAGGTCCTTGGGTGCTGTGGTTTTGGAGATAGATGGTGCAACTGGGTAAAGGGTTGTATTAGCTCCTGTCATTACTCAGTTTTGGTGAATGGGTGGTCAAATATTTTTTCCCTACCTGTAAAGGCCTTAGACAAGGTGACCCTCTCTCCCCATTTCTTTTTACCTTAGTTGTAGATGTTTTCAGTAGATTAATCTCTAAGGCAGATAGGGAAGAGGAAGTGAGTGGCTAGAAGATAGGAAGGAATAACATTAGGATAACCCACCTATAGTTTGCTGATGATATCATAATTTTTTGTGAAGGGGGTGACAGGCAAAAAGTGAGGAATCTTAGAGCATTGATACAACACTTTGAGGAGGTATCAAATTTGAGAATAAACATGGAGAAGGGTTGTGTGGTAGGTGTGAATATGAATGAGGGGATCATCCAGATTGTGGCAGATTGCCTAGGTTGTTCTGTCACTACTTGGCCTCTACAGTACTTCGGTCTCCCTTTAGGGGCTAATCCAAAAGATAGTAGTTTCTGGACCCTAGTGTTGGAAAAGTTTGAGAAAAGATTAACTTCATGGAAAAAGAACTACATCTCTATAGGGGGTAGAGTGACTTTATTGAGAGCTACTCTAGAAAATCTACCGGTCTGTTTTCTCTCCGTTTTCAGGATTCCTATTAGGGAAGCTAAAAAGTTGGAGAGATTAATGAGAAATTTCCTTTGGGAGCTAGTGGAGGAAAAGAAAGATCACCTAATTAACTGGGAAATAGTTTCTAGGAGTAAAGAGGAAGGTGGCTTGGGACTAGGAAGGCTAACTCTCAAGAATAAAGCTCTCTTAAGAAAGTGGTTGTGGAGATGGCCTAGAGAAAGGGAGAGGTTGTGGCATGAAGTGATAGCTAGTATACATGGTAGACTGGAAAATGGTTGGGATGCGGGTGTATCACGTCAAGCTACGTTGGCTTCCCCATGGAAAGCAATCCAGTGTATCCTCCCTCAGTTTCTCAACTTTGTCAGGTATGATGTTAATTCTGGTACCTCTGTTTTATTTTGGGAAGACACTTGGGTGGGTAATGTTGCCCTAAAGGACCAAATTCCATCTCTTTATTCCATTTCCCTTTACAAGGAAAAGGTTCTCTCTTTTTCTCCCATCTCCTTTTTCACCCCCTCCTTAAGTTGGGACTTTGGATTTCGGAGAGGCTTGAGGGATGGTGAACTTAACAGTGTTTCAGATTTGTTGTCCCT